CTTCTTTTCTCCCTCCTTTCCTCCCTCCCCTCCCTCCTTCCCTTCCTCCCTTCCCTCCTTCACTCCTCTCTTGCCCTTCCTGCCTATTCTCCCCCGACGCTGGCGTGGGTGGCACCGGCGAATCCTCGGGTGCACATCTCGCACGTAACGGTTGTAACGGTTGTGACGCTTGTAAAGGCTGTAACGGTTGCAAGGCGTGCGCTTCCTCCTCCACGTCTTGCTGCTGTCGGCGGTGGAGGAGGGCGAGGTCCCGGAGGATGTAGGCGACAGTGGTGGGGCCGTACCACTCCCCAGGGAGCTTATCGTAGGACATGCCAATCTTTTGTAAAAAGAGGGAAGGGCGCGGGAGATACGGAAATTTAAACACGTTGCCTTCCACCCAGGACAGGCACCCCTTCGCCTACCTGCACCATGTTGTGGACCGAGAAGACGTGGTTGGGCCCTGGTGCGTCGACGAAGGAGTCCAAGAGCTGACAGTACAAAGGATTGGATTTCAGGTCGTCCAAGTCCCGTGGTGCGCGCCAGTTGCTCCCAAAGACATGCCTGCGGAGGAAAGCCAGCGACGGGGAACGGAGGAAGGGAGGGAGGAAGGGAGGGAGGGAGGGAGGGAGAGGTTGTCACCAGACGTTTGGTCTACAGGACTTTCCTTGTATGTTGGTCAAATTACAAGCAACCAGCTACAAATATTGCCCTCCTCATAGCGATTCACGCCGTCATGCATCCTCCTTGAATAGAAAAATCACCGCTATGTCTCCACATGCACACCCCTCCATCCCCGTTCGCACCTCAACAACCCTTCCCCCATCATCATTTGGGCCGAACGAAGCATGCATCCCCATCCGGCATCATCGGTGTAAGGGTACGGTGCCATTGTCGGGAACGTATGGCGGTAGGTGAACCAAGGGATGGAGCGAAAATGCTGAGTCCATCCATCCAGGTCTTCGGGATCGTAGCGTTTTCCTAAAATCCATCGGCCCGTCACGGAGGAAGAAGGGGAGGAAGACGAGGACGCTGAAGCACGTCGTGCTGCAGACAAAGGAGCGAGGGGAAGGAACAATTCAAAAACAATTTCCTTAGGACGGACGGTGTGGGCGGAGGAGGTTGAGAGGGGGCAGGTAGACACGGGAACGTATTGCGGACGGGAGGGAAGGGATGTAGGCATAGCCTCTGTGACAAATTATGTGAACAGAAGGGACATTGGTGGGTAAACATGTGCGTGTGAGGGTTAGAGTTATTGAGGTCCGGAAAGGGACGCCAGGCTATCTCTGGCTGAAGTATGACGTCCACGCTGCCACGTTATCGTCTTGTGCCACACGAGGAGACTTGATTAAGGTATATCACATCACGATGAGATGAAACAGTACTCATGCTTGCCGGCAATTTCTTCATAAATGTCTGACAACGAGTGTGAATATGAAAATTGGTTGTGGCATGTAACCGAGAACAGGGTAACGGCCAGTGAACATGATCCTCATGTTTGTAGACCTGCCAAAGAACGAGCATTACATGCAAGATAAGTTCACTTGAGCCGCTCCAAATTCGCCTGATATTATTGGAGGCCATGTTTCTCATGAAGTATAGAAACTCGTGTCGCGAGAGAGAACGCGAAAAAGGGAGAACATTGGAGCAAGAGAGGGCTAAAAGAATGGGCCGAGCTCGCAACACAACCTTGGGGAAAGGGAATTGTGCCCTATTCGACAAGTGTCGGCGGAGGAACATTAAGCATGCACGGCACATATCGTAATGTTAATGAATTAAACGTCACGAGCCTTTCTTTTCCCCTTGGGTGGTTTGGGGGGGAAGGAAAGCGTCAAGCAGTATAGCTGAGGAGGAGGTAGAGCCGTCAAACCACCTCCATTCCCAATTTTGTGCTACTTGAATCATTGAGGATGACTGTGTATGTGGCTTCTTTGCTACTATAAATGTTTCTCGCCTCCCCAAAAATTTCGCTTCTCAATCTTCCTGCTCAACTTTCATTCGAGGGCGTTGCATACTTGCAACGCGACAAGAGACATTTGTTTCGAAAAACAATAGAATTGAGGTCAAGTCGTGTACTCTTCCCGGAAGCGGATTCCTCACAAAAGCGATGACCAAAAGACACAAAAATATGGAGCAATCGAATTACCAAAGCTACCAAATCTTATTCTTTTTCTTTTCCTTGCAAAACTGGACAGGCTCTATACTGTAGCCAACATCCTTGCATTTACATATTACATATTTCATTCCCAACCAGCACAGATAGAATGTATGCGTTCATAACATTTCTAAAATTATATCAAATCGCTTGAAATCAATTTGTACCTGCATTCCAGACGCCCTTCGAACCTGCCATCTGTGAGCGATGGCATGGCACACGGCGTCCCACCGTCAGGTGTTATACATCCATTTGCCTTTCCTCGTCCCCGTCTTCGCCAATCGACGCCAACAGAGCCTTCCCTCCGTCCTTTTCTCCCTTCTTCCGGCCCTCGTTCCTCCTTAAGGCGCGAAATGCCAGGTAGAGGGAAGCCTCGGCGCCCACCAAGGCGAATACCAGCACGAGCCACACACACTCGGGGAATGCGCGGGCGGAGGCGTTGTAGACACTGTTCAACACCAGTGGTGACACCGCCGTCGTCAGGGTCTCGAGCTAGCGGTCGGGAGCAGGCGGAAGAGGGAGGGTGGGAGGGAAAAAGGGGGGGGACAGGGAGGGGGGAAAGGGGGAAGGAAGATCGTAAGAAAGAGGGTACGACGTGAATGAGAACCGGCATGAAAGGGACATTAAAAAAGGCGCCGGCATGACGATAGGCACGCGGACATGGAAGGGAGGGTCTGTGTGCGGCACCCTTCCTGGCACACGGTCTGCTTCCCGCCAAGCCTTCACATGCGAATGCATCCCATATACCCCCGAAAAAGAATCGGAGCAAGACAGCCAGAGCCTTCGAAAATGGTGGGCGGGAAAGGGAAGGAGACAGCAGGGAACATACCGCCGAGAGGGCCGCGAAGAGCTGTCCCTGGGAGTCTTGAGCAATGGCGCGGGAGAAGAGGGAGCGCAGGTGGGGGTAGGCCGCCTGGCTCAGGGCGTTGAGGGGGATGATGGAAAAGGCCGCAACGGGGGTGGGCAGGAAGACGAGGAGGGCGAAGTAGAGGCAGCTGAGCGCCAGGCCGACGGCCACGAAGGCGAAGTCGTTGAAGGGGCGGTGGAGGAGCCGATAGAGGAAGGGGAGAAGGACGAGCATGACCAGGCCTTTGCAGCCCCCGGTCAAAGCTTCGTAGTAGCTGGTGAAAGGAGGAAGGGGGTGAAGGAGGGAGGGAGGGTGGGAGGGAGGGCATGGGTCTGAATGTTCCGGATCGAGAAGGTAACTGGGTGGATGCCGGCCCCGGCTTGCCCATATGCTCTCCCTCCCCTCCTACGACGCATCCCCTTCCTTCCTTCCCCTCCCCCCTCTATCCCTTTCTCCCCCCCCCCCATATATCTATATACATATATATGTATATAGATAGTGTAGCTTTCTTCCTCTTCCTCTTCCCCCGGGGCTTACCCGAGCACGTCGGCTTTCCATCCGAACATCCTCTTGGCGTAGTACACAAATATCGTCCCCTGCCCCACCAGGCCCAGGAAGGCCAGGCAGAAGCACCCGGACAACGCCAAGAGGGACGGCGCCGGCCCTCCCCCGCGCCCTCCGTCCCGCCCTCCGTCCCGCCCTCCGTCCCGCCCTCCGTCCCGCCCTCCGTCCCGCCCTCCCCCTTCCACGGCCTGGTGCTGCCGTGTCCAGAGGAACTGATAGAGGACCACGAAGGTGTTGTGCTGCCGGCAGATGCGAAAGGGCTCGGAGGGCTTGTCCCCGGGGTCCAGCGATTCCTTCACCCAGCATCCTGAGGGAGGGAGGGAGGGAGGGACAGCGGGAGGGAGGGAGGGAGGGAGGGACAGCGGGAGGGAGGGAGGGAGGGGGGGAGGAAGGGAGGGCGGCAGGGAGGGAAGAAGGGACGGAAGGAGGGAGGGAGAATGAGGGAACCTAACAGAGATGGAAAATTTGTTTGAAGCACACGATACGCCGGTTTCCAACGAGCAGGACAAGTCTCCACAATCGTCACGCTTCGAAGACACAGACACGTCCTCTTCCTCCTCCCTATACCTTCCCCAACCCCCCCATCTTCATCATCCTCACAGGCAGTACTCAATAGCTACGGCCCGAACCAGCACTCTACAATCCCCCCATCCCTTCCCCAAGACTCACCTATCAACACCAGCGTCAATCCAGCCATGATCGCATGAACCACCAGAGGCAGAAAGAAGCCCGCTCCGTTCAGTAAGAGCCCGGACAAGAAAGGTCCCGCCGTGTTGCCAAGGGCAAGGCAGCCCACGATTTTCGCAAAAATGACGCCCCGATCCGTCGGTTTTCGCTTGGTCAGATCTGCACCCGCGTTGACGTGCAGGTGGATGTTCGCATGTTTGGATATTTGAAAGATTTTCGATTGCTTACATTTTTTAAATTGGTTGACATGTGGGTGCGTTCGAGAGGGCGAGCAAGTCGTTTATGGCCTCTTCGTTCCCTGGTATCAGGACCCTAAAGCTGGCCAATCTCACGCCTCAGAGGCCCAAAGGAGGGAGGGAAAGGCGGGGGAGGAGGGGAACCCCCCATAATAAAGGAGAAAAAGAGCAGGAGGACACTAACGGAGAGAGACGTACCTGCTGCATAGGCATACACGCCCGACAAATAAGTGCCGTATGAGCCCGTCAGTCCATTCACGAAAGTGGCCACGAAGAGGCAAATGCGGGCAGCCCGGTAGGACGAGGAAGAGGAGGGGGATGAGGGCGCGGCGGACGGGGTGGAGGATGAGGAGGAGGAGTGTGTGAGGGCAAGGAGGAAGAGCAAGAGGTAAAGGAACTGTCCGCAGGAGCTGATGAGGAGGACTTTCCTGCGGCCCATATAGTCGGAGAAGGCACCCAGCGTTCCGATCGTCAGGGTGGCGCTGGCGAATTCAAGTGCGTACAGGTACTGAGAAGGGGATGAGGAGGGAAAGAAAGGAATAAGAAATTGTCGAGCGCTTGAAAAGGAGAGAAAGGATCTTTGAAAGGCAAAAGCCAGACATGCACTCCACGGTAAAATGCGGGAAAACCGAGAAGGGGAGAGGAACACGTACTTTCATCGTCAATGCTGCCGTCCCGCTAATGTTAGCACTGTCGCAATCAGAAGCGCCTAATCTGTCACATTCTAGCTGCGAGAAATTCAGGACGAGGTCCCGTGGGAAGGGAGGAGGTAGAGGAGGATAAGAAAAGCAAACGTAGCTTTTCAGAAGGTCGGGGGGGAAGGATATTGCCCGAAAGAAATAATCATAGTCCTTGAGTAAGGATAAAAAGATTGTTCGGGATCGTTGGAAATTTTGTCCTCTTACCTGAATGAGAAACTGGGATAGGATGGGTTGGATACCAAAGAGGGTTATGAAAAAAAAGGTACTTGGAAGGAGAAGTGGCCAGATTGACGACGCCAGGCCAGCATGTGTCGAATTCGTCGTGTTCCCTTCGTTGCTCCCAAGCGGAGAGTCCGAAAAGTGGGAGAGAAGGTGTTGAGATAGAGTACTGGAGTCAGGGATGGAGGAGGAGGAGGGTCGAGAGGCTGGTGGAGACAGCGCCGCCTTGTCGGAGGAAGCACTTCCCGTGTCTCCGCGAGTTGCTTTCATCCTGCTCCTGGGGTTTTTATGTAATCAGCAAACCAGTGTGAGCATGCCGGCGACTGTCCTTCGGGGGTCTTGTCTCATGGTGTATTCTATCGTGTTGTGCGGCGATCCCCCCCCTGCAACTCGACCTCCTGACCGGCGATCAACCTCAAAAATATGGGCCGAGGCCACTGAAAGGACCATGTCTTTGTCGGCATTGATGACGAAGACCGGCTTTCTAGGTGCACGTATGTGCATTCTGGTAGTATGTGGCCATTGATTGATTGGGCCAGGCGATTCCCGGCATTCTAAGAACAAAATGGCAGCAAGTAAAAATGTGCTAGTTCCTTAACCCTGCATGCTTCGATTTTAATATGCCATGCCAAGACACTGCGTGCCAATGGCGTGCAGTGTGCATTAATATGGGATGATACACAACCTTTTCCCGTTAAAGTGGTTTTTATCTTCGACCAAAGTATGAAGTGGAACAAAATGTTTGATATTCACCTCGGTTGGAAAACGCAGCCGAGTGAAAAGGTGGGTTCTCTCCTGATGCAAAAGGAACACTGGGCATTTTGTCAATTTTTTTGTAATTAAGTGCTGCTCTTGACACTCATTTATTGCTTACACCAAATTTTCGTCGAACACAATTTTTACTCTGCGATTTGCATCATAAGCATGTCTCGCATATAGCATGCCGAGGTCGTTAGGGTTTAGAGCGTGTCGATCCCTGGTATTTTTCATCATCATCCTCATAATCATCACGTATGAATGATCTTCATAAGGTCATCTTTGGCCGAGAACATCGAAACAGTCTCTTTCCTGGTGCTTCAATGGATACACATGCCACGATTGAAAATCATTTCTACGCTGACAGGAGTCAAATTTATTTGTTGTAGGGTGGCGAGCCTTCAGCTTTATGTGCCATTTGTCAGAGATATTGACCATTGATAGTCCAGGATCTGTTCTTATATTTCGTCAAGATACGAGATATTTTTAGCTACGACTGGTGGTTCACACAAGCTGTAAATTTGCCTGCCTGTCTAGTCCTTTACACCAACAAAGTGCCACGCAGCCAATGAATTTCTCATGCATCAATTGCAACGTACAAGAAAATATGTTCGGCTATATTTTCTTTTGTTTTGTCCGTAAAACCACGCTTTCAATCGATGAATGGTATTGGAGATTACGAAAACGAAGGAGCAGCCGTTTGATCCAAAATTTGATTGGCCGTTTCTTAACCTCCCCCCAAAATAAGGTGATTGGCTGATCAAGTGGGCCTTGAAAGACATCATTCCTTGTACAAATCGCATGTAAATTATTGATATGACGTAAAATCTCATATCTCATTAAAAAATATTTATTGGTCCTGAATTTGTGCCCTATTTCCTTCTTGTCTACGCACTGCAAAGGACATCCTTTGTATCATTGGACAAACTTGCGATATAATGTACTTTTGATGAGCCTGGCCTTTTCTCCTCGCAATTCATTCTATCACGTAGTATTATCCCGTAAATTATCTGCTTTATGAATCGAATACTCTCAGTTTACTTATATAAATACACACAAATAACTTGTGCTCATATAAAGGAAAAGTGTTGAAAACCCAAAGAAATTAAACTAATTATATTTCGTGCCTCCATAAAGCCATCTGGTACCTATTAAGTCGCAGAAAAATAATGTGCATCTTCTATAGTTGTATTTCTTCAAAATCTACTTGCACATTCATGATCCTGGTGGCATTCAGTTGGGCGACAAGAAGTCATGGTTTCGCAAGCAGCATGATAGGGGAGTACTGTACGACACCAATGGTGAGTTTGAGACTGAATCTACCGCCAACCTCACCTAATTTGCATGTAGTATGGACTCTAAGGCCTGCATGCAGGCAAACCGGCTCAAGTTTGGCTTACATATATCTAAGCTATGTCTGCACCCCACATCGGAACACAGACTGTGGGGACCGTTATGATGGGCTATCCTGCCTATCCCATGACTACTAATGCGTCCATCGTTGTGTCGCGGGACGGAGCTTCATTGAGTCCTTTCGATATGACATACTACCCCCATGAGAACTTGACGTTGGATCTTTTTGGCGCCCCGGGTCAAGTTGCGTGGGAGGCCAGCGGTGGAGCATCATTTTTGACAGGTGGGGGATGCCCGGGTAACATCCGCTCTGCTAATAGAACCACGACAATAATGATGCCAGGCGACGACGTTAGTGAAGTCACGGTTTGGGGGGGCTGCGCCGATGGCAATTCAGCTGTGGGGATCATGCGCAGTGTGACCCTGAAACCGAAAATGAACGCCATGATGTCCGTGTCCATGTTTAACGCTTCTTCGGAGACCTACGCCGCATATATAACCATGACATTGGTCGGTATTCCCTACATCGAATTTGACGTACCGATTGCTAGAAGGCTGCTCTCCACGGCCCTGGACTTGCCCTACAGTCAAATCTACTTGGTAGCTAACGTTGCGAGTCCTACATCGCCCATCGGTCAACGCTTTTTGAGGTGGCTAAAGGGAGAAAGCGAAACCCACCGTCGTCGCATACAATCACGTCAAAATCCCGTCGCCACTGATGTGGTTCTTCGAATTACCAATTTGAAGACTCAGGCAGATGCGAGCGCTTTACTTTCCCCACTAAAAACTTTTTTGACCTCATCATTGCCACATGACTTTCTTGGCCAATATATGAACGCGACAACACCTCCATCCGCGGAGGACCCTGTCTCTGTGGTGATACGGCAAAGCGGTTCGATCCCATTCAGCATTCCTTCCCTTCGTGCCAGATGTGTTCTGGATGAGCCGACGGGAATGGCGCTTTCCTGGAGGCTGGACCCGACTTTGGAGTTTGTCGACTTGCAATTAGAGGGAGCTGGTAAAGGGTGGATAGCCGGCGGGCTGGTGACAGCGGATAAGTTGATGGTGTCCAGACCCCGACACAAAGTCCTTCTGTATGACTTCACGGCAGGAGAGGCCCGCTTTCTGTCCTTGGAAGGGTATTTGCCCCGCAACTTGGTCGCAACGAATGCCAGTGCCTACGGTGTGGCCCCACTCCTGTTGCAAGCCGCCGGAGGAAAAATGTTCATGCGCTACCGACAAGTGTTCGACAAAGCCATCGTGCCCGTGGATTTGCTCGAAAGCACCAGCTTCATGTGGGCATGGTCTGAGCATTCTTTTCCCGAAATGCACGCCGCCGCCCGCACCGTATTGTTGCATTGGGCCGACGGCACTTGTAGCCCTCCTCTGATCCTGCCCGCCCTGGAAGGTTATTGGCTCTTGTTATTCCCTTTCTTGGCTGTCTTTGTGACCTGGACTTCCATGCGAAAGACCAACGAAGACGACTGCGGAAGGACTCTGCTGCAGCGCCGTCTAGGGGCCATACTCCCGCTACCTGCCTGGGTGGATGAATACACATGTGGTATCATGTCTGACCTTCTTAACCTGAAATGGGGGGAATTCTTGTTCATTGTCCTCTTTTACGTGCTGCAGGGGATGTTGATCGTCTACTGGGCCCTGCGCTTCGGAGATTTCGGGTTGAAAAGCTTGGGCATCGCGTTCGGGAAGGCCGCCCTGACCAATTTGATGTTAGCCTTCCTCCCGGTCAGCAAGACAAGCGTATGGGTTGTGATTTTTGGCATCTCCTTCGAAAGAGCCGTCAAATACCACCGGCATGTTTCGTACCTGATGCTGCTCACGACTACGCTCCACTTGGCCTTCTTGATCGGCATCAATCCGGTGTGGGGATACCCGCCCAAGCTCAACGGTGTGGTCATGGCGTACGGACTCTGGGCCTACATTTGCTTCCTGGTCATGGCCGCCACGGCTTTGTTCCGTCGTTGGCACTTCGAAATTTTTCGGTATACGCACTACCTGTTCATTGCAGGCACCGTCCTGTCCATCCTCCACGTCCCGGAGGGTCTACCTTACATGTGGGTGCCTGGCATCCTTTATGTCGTGGACTTTTTCTGGCGTTGGGTCGGCGTGCTCCGAGACCCGGTGCTGGCGACCCTCTCGGTCTTCCCGGACCGGGTGACCCAGCTTGACGTGTTCCCCCTGACGCCGGGGGGGCCGTCCAATCTCTTTCACAAATGCGGCGGTGGGAAGGAAAGAAAATGGAACAGACCGCTGGAACCGGGGAGCTATGTCTTTGTCTGCATCCCGCGCATCTCCCTCTTCCAATGGCATCCGATCAGTATTTCGACCGCCGGGATGACGCTTTCTCCGCAGGCGGGCGTGGCACCCTCTTTCAGTCTGCATTTGAAAGGTCTTCAAGAAGGAAGCTGGTCGGGGCGGCTCTGCCGGTTGGCCGAAGTGGCGAGGACAAGGGAGGACCGGCACCACGCGGGGACGGGAACGGACAAGCCTCCCGCAAGCGCGAGAGAGAGCATCCGTGGCTGGACGGGATGGCTTCCTACATTCAAAGAGGGGAGCGATTCCCCCATGGAGAGCCCCAGGGCTCAGAGTCAGCGGTCCCTCTTCCCCAGCCACCACACTTCGATCAACTGGCTGTCCATCTTGGTGGATGGGCCGTATGGAAAGCTTTCCATCGACCTTCGGAACTACCGGCGGCTGATGCTCGTGGCAGGAGGCATCGGCGTCACCCCCATGACCACCACCCTCTCCTACATTAGCTACCAAAAGAGGCAACAGCTTCTCACCTCTCTCCAAGGTGTGACACTGGTGTGGGTTTCTCGAAATTTAGATTTGATGTACGGATTCGCCCCCTTTTTGGGTGCGATGCAGCTGGAGATGAATACGCCTGAGCAGCCGAGCTTTTTCGAGCCGGAACTCTACGTGAGCAAAGGGCTTGACGCTAGCGGCAGCATCTCTCCAGTCTCTTATGCTGAGTTCAGTCGCACAGGGATCGTTCAGCAGGGAGCAGGGAGTAAGGTACAAAGTTTGCCGGCGGCAATCGGCCCAGACGTAGAAATAGGACGGACGGCCGAGAAAAGCGACTGGCACGAGCAGGGCGGTGTGGATGGTGGTGGGGAAACGGGCACAGTGCAAGGGATCAATACCCACAGAGGCCGACCCAATTTCGAGAAAATCCTTAGAAACCTGGTGCTTAGCGAAGAAGGCGAAAGTGACGCGGTGGGTGTCTTGGTATGTGCTCCGAAAGCGCTCTTGCTTGAGGTGCAACGCCAGTGTGTGAAACAGGATGTAGACTTGCACATGGAAGAATTCGACTGGTAGCTGCCCGGTAGGAAAGCCAGGTTTGAGAAAGAGGGAATGTGAAGCAGGTGGGCGGTAGTTCTCGTCAAACCGAATTGAAAGGTAGGGAAGAATAAAAGCGAAGGACTTGTAATGCTGAGGAGGGAGAAAGAATGAGAAAGAGAGAGAAGGAGAGGGAGAAGGAGAGTTAGAGAGATAGATAGGTAGGTAGAGAGAGAGAGAGAGAGAGAAAATCAATACAGAAGGCAAATGCTTGAGTCGACAAAAAGCTACGGCCACGTATATTTACCGTTAATAGTGCACCTGCGGTCAGATAAAAACTCAGGAGAACGAAGTGGCGGACCCGTCCTTGGCGGTACCTTAGCAGGAGAATCCAAATTTCCCGCCTAAAAATCAGAGCTGGAGCCCCAAAAATAGATTGCTCGAAACACAAGTTCACAGAGAGAGTTTAGGAAAATGCATCGTCGTATCCGAAGCGAGCATTCCCAGCACGGCCACCCAAGACGCAAAGAATACGACGCGTTACCGCCGTCGCTGTGCAATGGTGTTGCCCCTTACCTGTGCTCCCACTCAAAGCACTGATGCTACAGCCAGGAAAGTTGTGAGGTATATGGGCCACGGTTGAATGGAAGAAGCGGGTCATGAGGAGGAGGCAATGGTGTTGCCTCTTCCCAATGCTCCCGCTGCGCATAAAGAACTATACCATAGCATTGGGGGTTCTTCTTTCACGCTCCTAGTCGCCCCTGTCTTCGGTCCACCTAACCAACGTTTCCCCCCCACCATCATCGCGATGAGTCCTAGATGAGGAAAATCCCTCCGTAGGCACCCAAGCGTCCTCCTCTTTCCCATGTGATTGCCCATCGCTCCTCATTTATACACTTAAAACCTTGACATCCATAGCCTCTTCGCTGCCTCGGCCTAGTGGGCGGACAGGGGTTCCATGTAAAGCCTCTCATTTCCCATCTTTTGGTTTGAGAGCGGGCTTCTTCAGCGCTCCACCGCTGTACGTCGTAATTGAAGCACATCCCCAAAACATGGTTTTAAAAAATCAGGCAACTGTTTGCACTAGACAACACGGGAATTCATAAAACTAACTCTACATTCTTTGCGCTGGCTCATCCTTTTCCCTGTGATTCAATCATCTAAGACCAGGCTCACTGCGCTGCAGCATCTTCTCGTCAAAGCTCCCACCATTTCCTTCTTTTTTCCCGTTCGGCCAACGCCTTGGCGGCCGCTGCGAAATCCATCGCCCGCTGTTGCATCCCTTCCGTTTGGTTCGTCATCCGACTGAGCTTCTCGGCCCGCGCCTGATGATGATAGGGAGGGTGGGGGGTGATGTAGAGGGTTTGGAGACAAGACGAAGGGGGTCAAGCGAGCCGCAGGAACGGAACAGGGGGGCAAGAGGGGGAGGCAACGAGCGCTGAGTGCCTGCGGGAGACCCGCGCACTGGGAAGAAGGAAGTAGGAGAAGATAGGCAGCAAAGAAATTATGCTCACGCACACAGACCTATACAAGACCCAGGAGGGACAAAATAGATGACAGACGTCCTGCACCGAGACCCTTTGAGGCTGACAGCACAACATGAAATATATATATATATATAAGAAATACTGACACGAGGGAAATCCGAACAGAGAAAGGAAGGGGGGGCGGGAGGGCAGGAGTAAAACGGAGAACGAGGCCATACCTGCATCAACTCCATATTCTCGCTCATCACACTTGCGGCCTTGATGTCTTGATTGCC